GCCTCCTAAGTAGCCTGGATTACAGGTGCCCACCACCCCGCCTGGTTAATTTTTTTATTTTTAGTAGAGACGGGATGTCACCATCTTGTCCAGGCTGGTCTTGAACTCCTGACCTCGTGATCCACCCACCTCAGTCTCCCAAAGTGCTGAGATTTACAGGTGTGAGCCACTGCGCCTGGTCTATGATGTTTCTTAAAGATTCAAAGATGGATCCTAGGAATTTGATTCAGCCTCCATTTCATCTGAGAGTTAATCGTCACAGTAACTCTATGAGATAGGTCAATAATAAACTCTCGTGTTCACACATATTCCATTAATCCTCACAGCAACTTATGAGATAGTTTAATTAAACCTACTCCACAGATGAGGAAAGTAAGGCCAAAGAGGTTGAGTGATTTGCCCGAGGTTTTAACGGCAAGAATTAGTGGTGAAGCAAGAGTTCAAATCCATATTGGTCTTAATCAGTGAGCCTCTCCTGTGATAGAAATTAGATACCACTCTGAGGACTTTGGGAGCCATTGGTGAGTGTACTTACTTTAGGCTTTACACACACTGTGTAATTTGTTGGTCATTTTGTTCTTAGGTGGTGATCTTAATAAAGTTTTTACTTTATTAAGTAAAAGAAAGTAAGGGTTTTTTTTTTGTTGTTTTTTAAAGACAGGGTTTCACCATATTGGTCAGGCTAGTCTTGAACACCTGACCTCAGGTCATCTGCCCGCCTCGGTCTCCCAAAGTGCTGGGATGACAGGTGTGAGCCACTGTGCCGGCCTGAAAGTAAGTTTTTACTTATATTAAAACCAAAACTACTTATGTTACAACTAAAACAATTCTTTAAACTTTCATAACTTAAGTTGAAGTTTTAAATCATAAAATTAGTTGAAAAAGATGTAATTGCCAGTGTATTGTAAATAACGGTATTTTAAAATAAGCTGTTTCATCACTTTTAAGGAAACCCTTTGTAATTTAATGCATTGTAAGTGTATTGAGCTTATGTCCACCATAATCCATTTAAACATAGGAGAACTATGCAAATGGAATTTTTTCTTGAAAATGTATTTGTGTTACATTTCTTCTACAAAACTTTATGCTAATAATGTTTATGAACCCCTTGATAATCTTTTCTTGTAAATTTTTTATATAACTTGAAATGTTTAATAATGCTGTTATGGCACCAATTGTTCATGGTGTTTTCTGGATTATTTCACATTGTTTCTACTAATTAGTTGATCAGAACAGCAAATTATATACATTGATACTTGGAGTAAAATTTTATTGGAATTGTACTGCCTAAAAAATGGGAGAAGGCATAATGGCTTCAATTAAAAGTTGCATTTACCAATCTTTCAAAAATTGTCCTTTTGTGTGGTTTCCCAAAAATGTTGAAACATAGGTTTAAATGTATTTAAAGGTTATTGAATATAGTGGAGCAAATTATTGAGGATAGGTGAGAGTCGCCTCTCTTGTGTAAGTGTGATAAGGGAAGATGGGAAGAACAGGATACACTGCAGGTGTGTACCAAGTATGTTTGATGTTATGAAAATCAGGAGGAACTTGATCTAGAAAGCAGTTTTTAAAAAATTATTTTGAGTGTGTCACTGGGCTCAAGCAGTGCTCCCACCCTCACCTCCCAAAGTGCTGGGATTATAGGCATGAGGCACCGTACCCATCCTAGAAAGCAAATCTATACCTATATTCTCCTTGGAGAGTTTTTTTTGGGTACCCTAGGTGTACAGGTACTTCAAATGGAAGACAGTTATTGAAGAACTCTTGCTGGAAGATACCAGATGTTTATCTTAGCACTGTTATTGCAAATAAATGTGTCCATCAGTTAGTACAGATGAATGTATTCTTTTGGTATAACACTGTGCAGCAGTTAAGTGAGTTGCAAAACGAAAGGATATGTGTGAAAAAGAGTTGGGCGAGGACTATAGTGGGGCATGAGGGGTTATGCATAAAAATAAGGCAATGTAGATAAAGAGTTGATTTTTTAAAAAATGTTGTCAACCCAAGGAGGTAATTACGTAGATGTTTAGATTCTTTGTACTTGTTTTTTAAATTTCCCCAAAATACATGTGAAACAAATGTCTGTAGGAAGAATATTGTGACTGACTTGGTGAAAGGACAAAGCGTTGATTAACAAAAGATGCCAGTGAACAGCCATACTCAAATCATCCATCTAAAATAGGTATTTAAGATTCATTTCTGCCATCAGAAGCCTGTCTTGTTATTGTATATATTGATGTCAACACTTAAGTTCCTGTATGTTTCTCTTAGCCAGGGCCATGATAGCATTCCCCGGGGATAGGTTCAGTTGTGGTCTAAAACCTAAGCCCTTTGGCTTTAAGAGGTACCTGCCAAGATTTACCAAGATTTCTAGATGCTAAGGTTTCCAAAGTTCTTAACTGAAATATTTTCCTTTTTGAATTGTCAGTGATGTAGAAGCAAACATGAGATTCTTTATATTTTATTCACACAATATATTGGTGGCTGAAACAATTTCTTGATTTAAAAAATACTTATTAAATAAGCGATCAACTAGTAGTGAACATTTATTTATTTATTTTTTACTTTTGAGACTGAGTCTCGCTCTGTCGCCCAGGCTGGAGTGCAGTGGCATGATCTCAACTCACTCCAACCTCTTCCTCCTGGGTTCAAGAGATTTTTCTGCCTCAGCCTCCTGAGTAGTTGAGGTCACAGGCGTGCCTAATTTTTTTTGTATTTTTAGTAGAGACGGGGTTTCACCATGTTGGCCAGGCTTGCCTTGATCTGACTTAAAATGATCCAACTGCCTCGTCCTCCCAAAGTATTGGGATTACAGGCATGAGCTACTGCACCTGGCCATTTATTTTTTGATTGTAGAATGTGAATTCATCTCTTGGAGTGACACTTTGGTTTCACTTGATCAGAAAAATACTCGTCCCAGCTCAAACATTACCTTAGGATAAAAAGTGAGAATTACTAATTTCATGACAGGCAAATTATGGGTACAAACTACAATGACTTCCAATGAGAACTGCTCCTGATAAGGTAAATACTTGAGTTTCTCACATGGCAGGCTGTGAATTGGAGGCACAGGAGTTTGATTTGATGTTGGGCTGCATATTAAAAATTTACAATTAGAACTTTTTCCAAATGCTGTCTTAAAAAATGTAGAACCTTGAGGTCTACTCTAAAATTTTAAAAAGTGGAACCTTTCCAAAATTTACTAAAAATGCATTTGCAAAATAGCAGTCATTTGAAACTTCCATAATGGTAACAAAGGCTCTTTCCTGCTAATAATTTTCTATCTCAAACTATCTTACTAGCATAGCCCCTGTATTTGTGAAAAGAGTAGGTAACATTACGGTACACAGCATTTCCATCTTACCTCTATGGTAATGAGGATGACAATCATCCACTCCAAGCGGAGTGCCCTCTTCTCATTCAGGTGATTCCGCATTAAATCTGTTAGTTCCATGCAGTGTTGAAGTTTTTCATTCATGACCTGTGTAAGAAAAATTTTAGTAACATGTATTTATATTTAAACAATTTAATACGGTCATATACATAAGAATTCGGTAGCTATACAGTGAAAAAATCTTGCTCATCAGTCCTCTCCCCAAAGGCAGGCAGCAACATTATCAGTTTCTTATGAATCCATCCAGAGACCTTTTGTAATGCACAGATTTAACTGCAAAAAATACTTTGCGGCTGGGTGTGGTGGCTCACACCTATAATCCCAGCACTTTGGGAGGCCAAGGAGGGTGGATCACGAGGTCAAGAGATCGAGACCATCCTGGTCAACATGGTGAAACCCTGTCTCTACTAAAAATAGAAAAATTAGCTGGGCATGGTGGTGCACACCTATAGTCCCAGCTACTCGGGAGGCTGACGCAGGAGAATTGCTTGAACCCAGGAGGCGGAGGTTGTAATCATCAGACATTGGGCCATTGCACTCCAGCCTGGGTAACAAGAGTGAAACTCTGTTTCAAAAAAAAAAAAAAAATTCTTTGCATACTGAAGCTCTTTGTAAGATTTTGATGGAAGAACTAAAAATACTGTTTTTGAGTCCTAGTTTTTAGTAGCTGCCCTTTTTAGCAGTTAAAAAAAGGCAAACTTGAAACTTAATTTTTTTTTTTTTTAGCAAGACCCAAAGATAATTTCTATGGCAAAACCTATGCTTGACATTTGACCTGCTGCGCACACACCACTAGATGGCATTGGTTTTAACTGAACTGCAACAGTTTTAAATTTTGGTGCCTCAAGACGAGCTGGCTGTGGGGGTTCAAAGAGAATAAAGTTACTGAGTTCAAAACTTGGATGTGACAACTGTTAAATACCTACCTAATATCTCTATATTAATCACTTACTTCTGGAAATTGGAAATCCTGGAAGCAAACTTTAAAATAATTTGTCTCATGGTGTATGAAGTTTCAGGTTTGTCAGTGAACATTAAGAGACGAATCACAGGTACATGTTCAGGGGTTGATTGGAATGTGTTAGTTCACCATGTTACGACTTTTGCACATAGCATTAAACTGCCTTACTAGGCTGGGCTCGGTGGCTTATTATGCCTGTACTCCTAGCACTTTGGGAGGCTGAGGCAGGAGGATCACTTGAGCTCAGGAATTTGAGACCAGCCTGCACAACACATGTCTCTACAAAAAAATGAGCCAGGCATGGTGGCACATGCCTGTAAGTCCCAGTTACTTGGGGCGGGGGGGCTGAGTTGGGAGGATTGCTTGAGCTCAGGAGATCAAGGCTGCAGTGAGCCAAGATTGCATCACTGCACTCCAGCCTGGGTGACAAAGTGAGATCCTGTCTCAAAAAAAAAAAAGGAAAACAAACAAAAAAAAACCTGCCTTAGGGAACAGGGCTAACTCAGTGAACCATACTCGTCAGCATTTGCCCCTATTTCCAGATCTTATAGTCACCCTGTAGTTTCTAATCTGTATAAATGTTTAAAGCATGCCTCTGTCCTCTTCCTTCCTTTCCCCTTCCTCTTTTCTTTTCCTTTTGCCTTTTTTTTTTTTTTTTTTTTTACATAAATTAACCCATTTATTATAGGCCAGTGATGTCTCAGAAAGAGTAGAGGAGCGTCTACTGGTCTTTCAGTTGTCTTCTGATGGCAGACTTTACGGTGACAGCAGAAGTGGTATTGTACGTCCAGGCACCGCCAGCCACTGTCTTCATGCAGTAACCACAGTGCCGGATGCCCACAGCTTGTCTCTTCATCTTGGTTTTGCCACAGAAAGAGCAAGTGTACTTGGCATGCTGGCTGATTTCAATTTCCTTCACCATTTTCCAGAGGGAGGCCCCATAGCGAGTCCTGTATTTACCGACGATCCCAACCTTCTTGGTACGTTTGGCCATGCTACCGGTCTGAGCCCAGAAAGCTCCTTTTGCCCTTTCTTAGTGTCTGTTTATATTGGCTGCTTGATCTTGGTCTTTAATGTTCATCTTTAAGCTTGCTTTTCTATTCAATCTGATTGAGCCCTCTTCCATTTTCTTTCAATTTAGGCAAAGAACAGGCAACATTTTCTTCCTCCACTACCTCATCATTACCGAACTTACTCCTTAGAGTTTATTTCTGTTACCACAGCTCTCCTAAACATGCCAAGTTTCCTATTAAGTCTAACAGCTTTGAACCTCACTTAACCCATGCATCTAACACACTGAAATGTGCAAGCAAGAGTTCCTACCACTACAGCATGTTTTCTATTTCATTTAAGTATAGAGGCCTGTATGCTCCGTGCTTGCAGATAACGGAACAAAGAAAAAAAACAAAACAGGAGAGGCTTCACAGAGGTAGGCAATGTGAATTAGGCTTTTTTTTTTTTTTTTTTTTTTTTGAGTTGGAGTCTTGCACTCTTTCCAGGCTGGAGTGCAGTGGTGCAATCTTGGCTCACTGCAACCCTTGCCTCCCGGGTTCACGCAGTTCTGCCTCGGCCTCCTGGGTAGCTGGGTCAGGTGCGTGCCATCAGGCCTGGCTAATTTTTTGTATTTTTAGTAGAGATGGGGTTTCACCATGTTAGCCAGGATGGTCTTGCTCTTCTGACCTCATGATCTGCCCACCTGAGCCTCCCAAAGTGCTGGGATTACAGGCATGAACCACGGCACCTGTCCAAATCAGGCTTTAAAAGGCAGCAAACACGAAGAAAAGGTGGGCGGGATGTCGGGGGGATGGGGGTATGAAGGGAGCGTTTCAAGTATAGGAAACAGCATAGACACAAGCAGAGCTAGATTCTGGTCAACCTAGAAGTGCTTGGAAGTAAGGTTAAGAAGGTAAATTAGCCGGAGGCAGTGGCTCACACCTATAATCCCAGCACTTTGAGAGGCCAAGGCAGGTGGATCACCTGAGGTCAGGAGTTCAAGACCAGCCTGGCCAACATGGTGAAACCCTGTCTCTACTAAAAATGCAAACATTAGCCGGGTGTGGTGGCAGGTGCTTGTAATCTCAGCTACTTGGGAGGATGAGGCAGGAGAATCGCTTGAACCTGGGAGGCAGTGGTTGCAGTGAGCCAAGACCACGTCATTGCACTCCAGCCTGGGTGCCAAGAGGGAAACTCCATGTCAAAAAAAAAAAGAAGGTAAGTTAGTATCAGATTGTGAGAGGTACTGTGTACCACACCCCAGAGATACGTATCTCCTACTTCTTGGAACCTGTGAATATAACATGGTAAAGGAGAATTAAGATTGTATAAGAAATTAAGGTTATTAATTAGCTGATCTTTAAAAAAATTTTTTTTTAATATAGTAAAAGGGAAATCACAGGGGTCAGCACATCTGGAGTGCAATGGATAAGCCTCGCCCTGGGAAAACCACCTTCGTGATCATGGTATCTCCCGTCAGGTTAGTATTATTAACTGATCTTAAGGTGGGAAGATAATAGTAGATTATCTGGGAAAGCCCAATGATCATAGGGGTCCTTAAAAGTGGAAATGAGTTCAGAATGATACAATATGAGGATTCCACTTGCCTTTGCTAGATGGAGGAAGGGGCTATGAACAAGGAACGTAGGTGGTTTCCAGTCACTGAAAAAGGTGAGGATACGGATTCCACCCAGTCTCCAAAGAGGAATCACACCTTAACTTTAGGCCATGCCACCTACAGAACAGTTTCTGTTAAGCCACTAGGTTTGTGAAAGTTGCTACAGCAGCAGTTGGCACGTCATGCTAGAATATCTGAACTTCACTCTGCAGGTAATCCGGAGGCCTCTGTTCAATCTGGAAGTATAACATTCACTGTACTGTGCTGGGCAGAGGAGACAGAATGGTGAAATAGACCTCTCTCTCTGCCTTCCAACCAAAGGGGGCAGAGACTGGAAAAAGATCCAGTCTGGAGACAGAGTGAAGAAGGAATTAGACAAGTCCAGGTGAGAAAGGAAGGTGAGGGGCTGTGGGGATGAACAGTAATAGGTGCCAAAGGCAGGGGTCACATGGTATGCCTCTGTTTCACCAGCCCAGGGCCTCTCACATAGGCTTTCAATAAATATTTGCTAATGAATCCATGATACTTAGAGGAAAATAAAGAATGTTTAAGTGGATATGGAGGGTGAAGGAGAAAAAGGACACCCAGATGACTTTTAAGTTTCTAGTTGAATGACTAAATAGGTGAGGCTAGCAGGTCCTCCTGTGAGCTGAAAGAGAACAGAAAAGGTTTAACATTTTCATCGGGGGGAATACCATGAGTTTCATTCTGCAATCGTAATCATTGACTAATTCTGCAAATATTTTTGAGGACATACTGTATGTGAGGCCTCTGCCAAGAACTGGCAAGAAAATAATCATGGTCTCTGATCTCATGGGACTTAAATTCTAGTGGGAAATGGTGCACACATAATTTTCAAAAGGATGCTGAGATAATGTAAATGAGGAAGCTGTGTGAGATTGAGGAGGCAACTGGAAATGTTTGGAAGGCAAACGAGAGACTGGGATTAGAGACATTTGAACGTCACCAGGAGAAGGTGGGACTAGAAGTCATGACAACAAATGAGTGCTCATGGAGTAGGTGGCATCGGGAGAGAAGCCTCGACGACAGGACTTTGGGGACACCGACGTGAGAAAACGGGGCAAGGGATCCACTGCCAACTGGTTTGTCCCATAACGCCTGTGGAACTGGCCTCTGCATCTGGACCTCTGCCCTCAACTGTTTACCATGTCTTTATGCCTACTCGTCCCTATTTTCTCAAGACTCTTTCTTTCTGTCTTTTGCGGGGGGAAGCAAGGACCAACTTTCTCCTAGCACTACCATCGCTCTTTGTTCCATCTGTTTTCTTGGAAAACTGTAAAGCTGGCTGAAGGGCAGGATCAGTTACTTTTCTTTTGTATTATGTATAATGCCAGCATGATGCTGAGTCTAACTCTTTGAAGCTCTTCTTAATAACCTTCACATAATCCAATGAGTCTGAACTGCCTCGGGATGCTGAGAAAACTCTCTTGAGAAATGTAGTTTGAGACCTTTTAGGTATGCTTCCTAACTCATGCAGAAGACTTAACACCAAAAAAGATGTCCCAGAGTGAGACTGGGGAATGAAATAAAGAACAATTACCTTGTTCAGATTACTCCAATTGATTATTATTCTGGAATAGTTGGATCACTCAGTTCAAACCTAATTCAAGGTTCGGGTGCTATTACAAACAGTATTTTTAAAATTTCATTTTCCAATTGTGTATTGGTAGTATAAAGAAAGGCAACTGTTTTTATATATTGATCTTGAAACCCTGATAAACTCACTTGTTCTGGTAGCTTCTTCGTAGGTTCTTTAGAGTCTTCTACATACAAGATCATACTGCCTGTAGAATTTGGTAAATAAATTCAGTTTTTGTTGTTCTTATAGGAGACTTTATTTATTAATTATTTTTTGGGAGATAAGTCTCACTCTGTTGCCCAGGCAGGAGTGCAGTGGTGCGATCTCAGCTCACTGCAACTTTCACCTACCATTGTTCAAGTGATTCTCGTGCCTCAGCCCTTCATGTAGCTGGGATTACAGGGATGTGCCACCACGCCCAGCTAATTTTTGTAGTTTTAGTAGAGATGGGGTTTCACCATGTTGGCCAGGCTGGTCTTGAACTCCTGGCCTCAAGTGATCTGCCCAGATTGGTCTCCCCAAGTGCTGGGATTATAGGCATGAGCCACCACGTCTGGCTCTACAAGAGATTTTAAATCTTAGGGATATAGAGCCACCCATGAAGGACCGATGATGTGTTCAGCTGACACTGCTTACGGCTTTCTCCACAGGGACTGGGGTGGCTTTAGATTTTTCTAGCTGCTCATGTGCACAGAGGTATAGATGTGCACAGAGGTATAGATGTGAACCCGTCACGGGGAGACTCAATCTCAAACTGGCCTCGATACCAGAATGAAGAGTACATTCAGTAGAGGCAGAAGGGGCCTGGGCAGGCTGCTTGTTCTCACGGGTGTCCTTTCTATACCTGCCGTTGATCTTAGCCATGAAACGGCTGACCACTTAGTTGTCAAGGTATCCTTCACTCAGGTGGGCATCCTTAGTTGTAGACATGATTTCAGTAATTCCATCTTGAACACAGGATGGACAGATAAAAAATGCCACCGGGGTCAAAGATCAGAACATTACTTTTGGCATTAGTGTTCTTGTCCAAGCCAAGAGCAGTGGCATTTGGCTTGCTAATGATTCTGAACACAATGAGATCAGCAATGGTTCCACCATCTTTATGACCTGAACCTGTCAACTAACTATTAAAGTAATTGGTAGTATTAGGACCATGTGGGTCAGTGGTCATAAAGTAGGCTTCTAGAATGTTCTCCTTTTTCAAAACCACTGTGGTAGGCAGATTTCTAAGATGACGCCCAAAGACTCCCTACCTCCTGGTGTTCACTTGTGTGTAATCCACTGCCCTCAAGAGTAAGCTGGGCCTAAAAACTTGCTTTTTTTTTCTTTTTGTGATGGAATTTCACTGTTTCACCCAGGCTGGAGTGAAGTGGCACAATCTCGGCTCACTGCAACCTCTGCTCCCCCAGGTTTTAAGCAGTTTTCCTGCCTCAGCCTCCTAAATGGCTGGGATTATAGGCATCCACCACCATGCCCAGCTAATTTTGTATTTTTAGTACAGACAGGGTTTTACTATGTTAGCCAGGCTGTTCTTGAACTCCTAACCACCCACCTTGGCCTCCCAAAGTGCTGGGATTACAGGCATGAGCCACTACGCCTGGCCATAACTTGCTTTAAAAAAAATTTTTTTTTTTTTAAAAGAGATAGGGTATCACTATGCTGACCAGGCTGGTCTTAAACTCCTGGCCTCAAGTGATCCTCCCATCTCAGCCTCCCAAAGGGCTAGGGTTACAGGCATGAGCCACTGTACCTGGCCCTAACTTGCTTTTAACAAAGAGAGCACAGCAAAAGTGATGGGAAGTCACTTGTGTGATTAGGTTGCAAAAGACTGTGACTTCTGTTTTACTAGCCTTCTCTTCCTGCAATCTCTCTTGCTCTCATTATTAGTCCATTCTCTCATTGCTATAAAGAAATGCCCCAAGCTGGGTAATTTATAAAGAAAAGAGGCCTAATGGGCTCACGGTTCTGCAGGCTGTACAGGAAGCATGATGCTGGCATGTGCTTGGCTTCTGGGGAGGCTTCTAAAAACTTACAGTCATGGTGGAAGGTGAAAGGGAGAGCAGGTAGCTTACATGGCAGAAGCAAGAGAGTGCAAGCGAGGGGAGATGCAGGTGCTATAAATTTTCAAACAACCTCGAGAGAACTATCATGAGAACAGCACTAAGTGGATGGGGTTAAACCACTTATGAGAAATCTACCTTATGACCCAGTCACCCCCCACCAGGACCCACCTTTAACATGGGACATTACAATTCAACACAAGATTTGGGCAGGGACACAGATGCAAACCATATCACTCCCCTATTTGCTCATTCTGATGAAGCACGCTGCCATGCTATGAGATGTTCTATGGAGGAGGCTCTGTGGCAAGAAGCTGCTGGAGGGCTCTGGACAACAGCTTATGAGAAACTGAGGCCTCAATCTAATAGCCTGAGAGGAGCCAATAACAACTGAACTAGGAAGTGAATCCTTGAGATGACTCCAGCCTTGTGAGAAACGCAGAGTCAGAGGACCCAGCTAAACCATACCGATTCCTGACCGACAAAAACTGAAATATTAAGTGGTGTTTCTTTTTATTATTATTTTTGAGATGGCGTCTCACTCTATCATCCAGGCTGGAGTGCGGAGGTGCAATCTCGGCTCACTGTAACCTCTGCCTCCTGGGTTCAAGTGATTCTCGTGCCTCAACCTCCCGAGTAGCTTCTCAGCTACTTGGGACTACAGATGTGCACCACCATGCCAGACTAATTTTTGTATTTTTAGTAAAAACAGGGTTTTGCTGTGTTGGCCAGGCTGGTCTTGAACTCCTGGCCTTAAGTGATCTGCCTGCCTCGGCCTCCCAAAGTGCCAGGGTTACAGGCTTGAGCCACTGCATCCAGCCAGTAAGTGGTGTTTTAGTCCACCAAGTTTTGGGGTAATTTGTTACACAGCAGTAGCTGACACAATCACAGGAAATACCTCGTCTGTATAAAGTTTTAGTATCCCTCCCTTACCTCCTCTAGATCTTCTGCCTGTGTGCACAGTCAACAACTGGGAAACTCCAGTTCTTTTCATATCTGATGAGACGACTGAACTGTCAAATCGGTGTCTACTTAGACCTATGGTATCTAAAACTATGTTGATGGAGTCCACTGAATTTGATTCTTAAACCATCACTCATCATCAATCTTTCTGTGTCAGCTAAAAGCAACATAGCTTGGTTTTCTTGCCCTGACCAGTGGTGATGATCTCTACTGTCCTGTGCTGGAAGACACCTACAGAGGAACAGGT